TGATAAATCAGTAAGTGTAAAAAGTCGGTTGCAAATTTTACATTGTGCAGTTCATGGAATTGAAGTCGTTATGCTTTAATAGCAAGCAAACATTTCATATTGTTTTAAATTGTGAATATTGAAACAGCTGTTTTTACTTGAAGTAGTATTTTCTTCAACTTTTTAACGAATGCTGTTCCTACAGCATTCAGAACAGCATTCTTTAAAAAGTAGGCATTAATTTTACCCGTGTCCTTCAGTTAGGAAGTGGTGAGAGTTTGTTATTGGAGAAAATGGCTGAAATTCAGGCTGTTGTTGCATATGAAGGAGAAAATTTGCCACTTATTTACACATGTTTGTTTCTTCCATTGTTATTTATTACCGTTCGATGCAGCGGTGAGCTCGACAAGCAACCTGTGGGAAGGACTGCAACATGTCTGTTCAGGATTTTTGTGCTGTGAATATTTTAGTTGTTTTGGAATAAAAAACACGACATTTCTCTTCCCTTCTCTCTTTACTCGTTTTTTGGTTATTTGCTGTTTCATTGTGGGATCTATTTTTTAACTCAAGAGCCTAGAATACGTGAGAGAATTGTCATAGAGGAACCAATGGATGGTATGTATGTGGATTTAATGTGAGTTAAATAAACATCAGTTAATGTAGGCAACAGTTAATCCATGTAATACATATATCGTAAAGTAATTTTCCTTGCTTTGTATAAACAAATTGCTGCACTTGAAATGTGTAGAATAATACTATTAAAAAGTTTGATTTCTGCACACTTCAATAGAGAGATTAAGATTCAGATGGCAATGGAAAGGATCCAAAGCTATCAACAGGGTTCGTACTCTTTTGAGCCCTTCAAATTCCATGACTTTCCATGACTATTTCCATGACCTTTTCAAGTTTTCCATGACCTTAGGTTAAGCTGTCGCTTTCGAAAATTTCTCAAACTTTCCTTGTTTTTACCTAAAGCAGTTCAACAGACACAAGCTCTGGTATCCTCAGTCCACCAAAATGTCTTCCGTTTGCCTGATTGATTTGTTGTCTTGATCTTACGTTGTCCAGCCTTGCTTTGTCATCTGCAGCAACTTATCTATTATGCAAATCTTTAATTTTCCATGACTTTCCAGTACCGACAATTAAATTCCATGACTTTCCAGGTTTTCCACGACCTGTACGAACCCTGTATCCAAACAACATGACTCCCAGTTGGTTCGTATTCTGGAAACAATTGACCCAAGAAAGAACTTGAGGTCTTTGTTTAGAAAGGGTCTTGTCTCGGACATTTTTGGAAAGCATACAGCAACGAAGTATATTGCTGATACCATAAGGCGTATCGTCTCAGTTTGAGGCATTTCTGTTTGTACGTGACACGAGAGAAAGCTGAGTGTGTGGATGTTGATACTGCCCTTGTCAGCCAAATTGCAGAGAAAGCACGTCTTTAGTCCATGTTGTACAAAAAGGATAGCAAACGGAGGCATCTAGGGAAGATGAACAAGGACCTCAGCAACCTAGTAACCCCTGATATGATCAACGAGTTTGAACAGAATGAGTCAGCAGGGAGCGCTATCAGACAAAAAGGAAAACTCACTGGATCAGACAAATAGGAAAACTCACTGGAGTGCATTCACTGGTTGTAAACCAAGCCATGTACACTCTTTTTGGAGATTTTCTGCTCCTTGAAATTATCATTGAAATGCACACTCATCTGGTGTGTTGACTAATATGACAATTGGCGAATATGAGGGTGCAAAGAAAAAGCAGGATAGCATCGTCATAAGTGTCAAGCACAAAACAGCGGACACGCACAGCCCAGCATGCTTGGTGTTGTCACCAACCCTATTCTCGTATTTACAAGTGTACTTCAAGGAAGTGCAAAGCAAGGTGTTGGATTCAACCAGTAATGAGAATGAGAGTAGCAAAGCTTACGTATTTTTGTCTTGGATGGAGTCTGGCCAAATCTGCACTGCTATAAATGCAGCAGGACAAAAGGCAAAATGCAAGGGCACATCTCATCAACTTTGTTTCACAAGTCTGCAGTCACAAATGTGCTACACGGCATAATGAGTTGAGATAAGATTTAGACGACCTTGCAGCGCATAATGAGGCCACTGCAAAAAGATTTTATTACCTTATGGAAAAGGAAGAAGCAAGCTGCATCTGATCTTCATCGCATTACGAGATTCTCTAAACAGAAAGAAATGGAGAACCAGCATGAAGCAGCTGGCACGAAATCTGATGATGGTGCTTCATATTCACCGTAAAGTTCAAAAGAGTTACATTTTGTTGATTTATAGCATATTTCTTTGTTGTGACCGCAGTCTGAGATAGCTTTAGTTTTTTTTATGTGACAGATAATCCAGTGTCATAGCTTGGATACCATATGCTCAAGATCAAAATTTGTCACAAGTACTGAAAGAAATTGATCAAATCTCACAACTGTTCTGAGCAATCAGCATCAATAGTGAGCCATTTCCTCGAGATACGAAAGCTATTCTTGATCCACTTCAGCCAAGTACCTGTCCTTCACAAGTAATTTGTACCACTCTTCTGCACCAAAACCTTCCTATACTTCGCTTTGGCGGTTCTTCAGAACCCCATGATCAATAGCAAATCTTTGATACATCCTCGCTAGAACTACTTTTGGATATGTTGGAGTGGAAATTCTGCTGCTACTTATCTCTTGCAGAATTTGATCTCATGGCATTTGTGCGATTATTCCGTTTATTGCTTATCAGAATTGATATCCTCAAAGCATTTCTAATTCATTTGCTACCACTCCACGAAATGAAAATCTCACAAAGTGATCTTTGGGTGCAAATGCTAAACAAATGGCTCTATTCACAAGGTGTCGTCCATCCACGTCCATCCATGTGTCCCAGTTATCAACAAGTCAAACAAAAGCTGCACAGTGCTCAACGTTTCAATACATTTGCTCACAGAGAGACTTTCCCTCTTCCTTCCCAATGTATTCTGTACCTCAGAACCAATACACCGAGATGAGTTCACGTTTTCCCTTTGGATTAGTCTACCAAAACTGGACAAAAAATAACAGAACTTTCCGCGTGACTGACGTAGAAAAACTGAAGAAGTTAACTCTTCACTCGGTATCTTTAAAGTGCTACTACGACGAAAATTTTTGTTTTTGTTTCCGAGTTTTTTTAACATAAATCTTTTCTATATGTTCAAAATTATACAAAGAGCGAAAAATTGGAACAATACTTGTGTACCAGGGCTGGAAATTTCCCACTGAAAAGTGCATAAATACCGTCGGCCATTGCAAAGTTCACAAAACAATAGTCCGCGGTCTTGCGTTTGACCACGTGATTTATGCACTGTGACGTAGAAAAAAGTTTGTGAGTTTAGAGCCTTTAAGATGTCATCTCTGTCGGATTCCTCTTCCTGCACATCTGAAAGTGATCTAGAAAGTTTTACAGTTGACGAAGTGATTGGGGAATTGTCTGAATTTGCCCTGTACAACGACAGTTGCGAACCTCTTGCCACCGAGGAAGAAGCCGTGGACTACAACGAAAGAGTTCATCGCAAAGAAGAGGAACAACAGTTTCAACAAAGATATTCGGGAGAGGTGCCAGCGAATGAATGGTGTGGTATTATCATGGAATGTAGATTTATATTTTCCTTTCCAGTTTCAACATACCCGTCATTAAATCGTGCGTGTGACGAACGTGACTATGTGTTTTTTTTAAGCTTACAATTTCGTTGCTATATGATTAGCTGTAGTCCTGATTTTATGCGATAGTTTTATTAAAGCGGTCAGACAATTAATAATTTTATACAGACGTATTTTTCTTGTGTTTGACGAATTTTTCACATTACTTTGCAGGTGTTCGTGCTCAAACTGCTCTGTCAGCCTTGTTACAAAAGCGCAGGAGTGCATTTGCTGCAAAGAGATCAATCGCTGCGAAGTGATCATGGAAGAAGCCATTGGAGACCGGACTGTATGCATAACCCTCCATCCAGGGTTTGAAAGCGTCTGCTTAAACCACCACGTATTAGACGTGGCTGCACTGGGCCTAAAAATGCGAGCTGGAAAGTCGTACACAACTGTTCGTGGGTAAAGCAACAAAAGTAATGATGAGTAAGTTGGGGTATTGTTGACTTTGTATCAGAACGATTGAACCTTACATAGCATTGAATAATTGATACATCTAAGCTTATCGCCGTGGACTGATCTCATAAAATCACCACCCCCTTTATCTTCTGTCCGAATATATGTTAGCAAGGGTACATCCATGGAAATTACAAAGGTGGCTCCTTTTCTTGTCAAGTTTTTGGAGGCCGTTGCCACCAATGATCATCAGTATAATAGACCCAAATGTAAAGCTTTTGAAGTCTTAAAAATTGCTTTGCAAGTTCTTACAAACCCAGAAAGAAAATTTGGATTGAGTTGGGAACTTATGGGAATCTTAGATGAGTGTGCGAGCTGAAGCAAGAGAATTACGGGCATAAGCCACAGAATTTTGAGCAAGATGCGGGCCAGAACACCATCAGGGGTAAAAGAAGAGAAAAGGCTGGAACTTGGTCATCACAAAACAAGGTCATCAAACGAAAACACCGTAAGTTAACAAAAACTAAATGTTTCACTTGATGTCTTATGGTAATTCCCACTAACTTTCTTTGGTGAATGCACTGCCGAACATGCACTTATGTAACAAAAAAAAAGGAAAATCACATATAAAAGACACTAAAGAAGTTGATAGCAAAGAAAACCAAGCAGGGAACATCGATTACATTCCCCTCACGTATGATTTAGTGGCATTAGTGGTAACGAATTCAAAGGAATGTGTCCCTATGGTCTTTGTGGCAAAAGTTTTACGATAATCCAAAGATCGAAAAATAGCTTATCTAGTTGAGTTTGTGAAGTCTGGACCGGAAAGATTTCAACTTGGCACTGGTAAACACTTAGAGAGGAGTAGTGAATGCTCTAAAGTATTATATTGACCTTATGTTACTATTCACCTCATGTACTTGCATTCCAACGGATTTACGAACTAAGGACACCAAAGATCGATATTCATTGTTGATTTATAGCATATTTCTTTGTTGTGAACGCAGTCTAAGATAACTTTACTTTTTTGAATGTGACAGATAATTCAGTGTAATGGCTTGGATAACATACGCTTAAGATCAACATGTGTCACAAGTACTGAGAGAAATTGATCAAATCTCACAACTGTTCTGAGCATTCATCGTCAGTAGTGAAAGAGCCTTCATTTCCTCGAGATACAAAAGCTATTCTTGTCCCATTTCAGACAATAACTTGTCCTTCACAAGTGACTTGTACTACTCTTCTACACCACAGCCTTCCTATAAGAGTCTGTGGTGTTTCTTCGGAACCCTATGATCAATACCAATCTTTGATAGATCCTCTTTAGAACTACTTTTGGATATGTTGGAGTGGAAATTCTGCTGCTACTTATCTCCAGCAGAATATGATCCTGTGGCATTTGTGCTGTTCTTCCGTTTTTTGGTTATCAGAATTGTTATCCTCAATGTATTTCTAATTCAGCCACGACCACTTCACGAAATGAAAATCTCACAAAGTGATGTTTGGGTGCAAACGCTACACAAATGGCTCTTATTCACAAGCTGTCATCCATCCATGTTTTATAGTGTGTTACAGTTGTGTCCCAGTTATCGACAAGTCAAATGCAAGCTGCACAGTGCTCAATGTTTTAATACATTTGCACTCAGGGACACTTTCTCTCTTCCTTCCCCATGTATACTGGACATCAAAACCAATACACTAAGATGAAAGTCAACAAAGTGGAAGCGGAATGGCTTTATGACTGCCAAAACAATAAGCAAGAGGATTTCTGGAAAGACAGTACCAAAAATTACCTGTTGCGAGCTGAAGCAAGAGAATTGTAGGTATAAGCCACAGAATTTTGAGCAAGATGCCAGCCAGCGCACAGACGGGTAAAACAAGAAAAAAGGCTGGATCTTCACCTTCACAAAACAAGATCATCACAACAATAAGGAAACAGTGTTGAATTTGAATCCAAAATTTTAGAAAAGAGCATGGAGGGAGGAGTATGCCCCTCCATGCAGACTGAAAAGTCACCTTTCGACTACCCAGCAGCTTCAGTCTGCTGAGTTTGCTATTAGCAGTAAGACTACCATTCTATTTTATTCAATGCATTTAGCTGTGCATTGAGCATAGCTGTGTCTTCCTGAATGTGGACGTCTATGATGCAAGTTAGAGGCCGGAGGGGGCCACAGAGGAAGAAGAGAAAAAAAAGTTCAAAAGCTGACATCCAAATACGGATCGTAAAGGTCCATGTTCACCCAAACGGCTTTGCACACTTGTGTTTTTGTTTGAAATGATTCTTTTGTCAAATGCAGTGCTTTGCTTGGCTTCCACTTTTGAGGAGCGTTTCATGACGATACTAAAAACGACTTCGAGGGAGGCCAGCTTTTTTTCACGCTTGACTAAAGCTTAATGAGACAGTATCAAAGAGGCCAGTTAGACTTTAATTCTTTTCCAAATGGAGAAAGATGTATTACCGACTTCGTTAAATGTCACTGGAGAAAGCAGTTCAAAATTTAAACTGGTAGTGAATGTGTATGGATGCTTTGTTGAGTCCAATGAACACAATGAAGGTCATTAAATTACAAAACGTCTAAGCACCAGGTGAGATTTTCCTGAAGCCCGATTCGACTATGAAATGTTTTGATTCCTCAATCTATTATAGGAAGCTTAGGTATGTGTTCTCAAAAGAATAAGCGACAAGTTGTGTTTGCAAATCGTTGAATCAGCACTGCGTACAGTCTTAACAGGAAATGAGCGGTTTTTGCTCCGTCTGAAAACAGAGTGAAATGGAGAGCAAGCGTCATTGTCGATTTTGCAAAAAAGTCATTGATCTCTGGTAAGAGAAGTAATACAGTGCCGGTCTTTGGCATTTCAAGCAAATAAGACCTTGCTGGTTGATAGTGGTCAAGATAGCGTTGTACTAGCGCAAGCATTTGAATCCTTAAGAATTCCCCTTGAGCAGGAGGAGAGCTTTTCCGATTGAAGCTGCTTAACTTGTGCCCAACAGGCTGTTCGTCTTGCTAGTTCAGTTTCTACTTTAACAAGCCCCTGCAATGAGCGAACTTAGAATGCCAGAGGTACAGATACTATCATGCTCAGCGGGTGCCGTGGAACGTCGGTCCCAAATGTTTGTCTACAGGCCTTTTTGCTTTTCCCTCTCCCCAGTTCCCCACTCGACCAAAGGCCTGTTCACAGGCTAGACCGTGAGTCTGACTTTTAATCAAGGCATTGAGGGTCAAGGGTCAGGACAACTCGGATTAATATTAATCGGATTAATATTAATCCTAATGATTATTATAATCCAGTAATAGATTATTACAATCCAGTAATAGATTATTATAATCCATTACTGAGGTTTGAGCCGTGCCTTGATCAATTAGGATTACTATTATCTTATGTAGGATTAATATTAATCAGATTAATATTAATCCTAATATTAGATCCAGTAATAGATTTTTATAATCCATAACTGAGCTTTGAGCCGTACCTTAAACGATTAGGATTACTATTAATCTGATAAATATAATCCCACATAGCTCAAATTTGTACAAGTCTCTCAATAAAGAAAATATTCTATTCTAACCACGACGAATTTGCTACTTGTGCTAGTAGTTTGTGAACAAAACTCTTAATTACATTCAGTCAATAACCGCACTCCTTATTATACGTTATTATATTTTAGTAGCAGAAGTCGGCAGTTGTCTCAGCTCTGCTGGTAATACAGTTGCAACTGAATTTTTTGCAGGGCCATGAAGATTTTTAACGTAGAATAGAATAAAGATCTTAAGTAATAAAAAAAATAACAAAGTGAAAGGGATGTCAGTGCGCACATCATCAAAGGAAATCCTTGAATCTTTTCCAGTTATTTCTAAAAGACTCAGTCTTTCTGAGTTTGATCCATAGAGATAGTTATTTCCCAGGGAGCATTTCATGATTTGGACCGTCTGCGTATATGCTGGACTTAAAGTAGGAGTTTGTGTTAGAGGACTGGGTTTCAGGATTGGTGTCATAGAAGGAGCCATTGTTGTTGATGGGTTAGCTGGTGGCATCCACGAAGGCGTATGATTGACTGAAGTGTTGGCACCAATTTCAGCTGGACGGAAGAACTCTAGAGTTATGTTGGCAAGTGACCTTGCAGACAACATATCCTGTATGCGTTGATAACGATACTTTATACATGCCTTGTCATTCACTTTAACAAGAATGTCGCCATCTCTAATCTGGGAGAATGATGCCGACTGTTCGACAGCTTCAACAATCCAGCCTCCTCCAATTATTGTTTCCGGTGCTGCACTCACCCGGATTATAATAGAGATTAATATTAATCCGGATGATTATTATTAATAATAATCTAATCCTTCCAATTTTTGCCGTGCCTTAATCTATTACTGGATTATAATAATCTATTGCTGGATTATAATAATCTATTACTGGATTATAATAATCTATTACCGGATTATAATAACCATATTATAATCTATTATTATTATAATCCACGGATTAATATTAATCCGAGTTGTCCTGAAGGGTGACATATCGGGGGTTGTTTCTTTAGGTCGAGGGTTCATTTTTAATGTTTAGTTTTTTACAATTTCTTTCTTTCTTCTTTTTTTTCTCATTTGTTAAGCGAACAAGGAACGCCAAACACACAAAAGCTCATTGTAAGCGAGGACCCAGACAGACACTGAAAATTAAAATAATACGACAAGAGATCCTTATGTCACTGTTTTTTAGGCGATAACATGGGACTAATAACTTCAGACAAGAATATTATTATCGTTCCCTTCCTACGATTTTTATCTGAAATAACCCACCCCTTCCCCTCAAAAATCAGAAGCTTAGCAACAACGCAGGGGAGGGAGGTGGGAAACCTGATCCGTCCTCCATTTTGCCTTTTTCCTGCACAGACGAGGCAGCCTATATTTTTTTATTTGGCTTGCCATGATTTGGATTTGCCATGGCATAGTATCTTTATCTGGTGGTCAGAAATGTAAATCTATCACTGTAAGAAAACTATTTTACTATTATCTTTTTCTGACAGTAAAAGTTGCCTAATTTGTGCTTCCACAATGTAACCAAGGTGATTACAGCATAGTTACCTCTATAAATTTTACTGTTGTATTCTGGTACCATGTGTCAGTAGAATAATACGAGAATTTAAGCCCCTGTCAAGTAGCAATTTACATGACTCGCGTTTAAAATTGTCACGTGGATAGAAATAACAAATTGTAATTAGGTTTTGAAATCACTTTAGAAACATGTAGGGTGATAAACGTTTTTTGCGACAAGTCAACTGATCCTGATGTAACATTTTTGTCCAAATGACAGGTTTATTAATGCATGCAAAGGGTTCAAAACAAATAGGGCAGTTTGCCTTGTGAATTTCATTGGCAGCAAGGCGAACATGTTCTTCAATATCTCAGGGTCGTGGTCAGAAAATCCTTTCCCCTGCAGAGGACCTAGCAGTCATGGACTGGGCAGAGAAGCACCAAAAAATGGTACCCCTATGCAAAGAGGATGTGGGTTGAGGCAGAGAGGGCAGAAATAACAACTCACTCGAGGCAAGCCATGAAAGCGAGATATCACAAGCTTCGATATCCTACCCCACAGCCACGAAAACACAACACAGTCACAACCCAACACCACCCCAACCACTGATCTAAGATCACAGACAATTTTTAACAAGAAGTCGGGATTGTACCAAAGAGTCTGTAATCAGTTGGTGAAAAAAGGTTATCAAGTCCCAAAGGGATCAAACGGATGTGGAAGTTGCTTTTTAGTGAGTACTTAAAAGCGAAAGATTGTAATGGCAACCAAATCAGGTGTGACAGCATGGGTAGTGCCAAGGTGTGATAAAAGAATTTCACCAACCTCACTACTTTTGTTTATTTAAATGGATAGATAACCTTTAATCTATTTTTTTAAATTTATTTGTGTTAACAGTCCAGGTGAAGATGAATCAGTCAATGAAGTAGGCATTGGTGGACATAATGAAAAAGAGTCCAAAAGTGAAGATGGTGATGCAGAACTGACAAAAGAGTGTGAGAGGAAGAGTAAAGATAAAGTTCCAGTAAAGACCAAAAGGGCAGCTGATGCAATAGCAAGAGACAAAGGTGTGAGATGTAAATCTACAAAGGTGTAAAAAAAACCAGCAACAATGCAGTCATCTGAGTCTCTGGCATCAGCAATGAAAGATATGAGAAATGCACAAGATGGACAGAGACAAAATGATTAATTACTATGGGTTGAACATGAAGCTAAAGAGAGGGAAAAAAAACAGAGAGCTTCAGAAGCTAAAATAGGATCAAAGGGGAGAGAAAGTCAGAGAATATGAATTAGAAATGATGAGAATGAGGATGACGCCTAGCTTCTCACAACCCCAACAACCTTTTGCGACACCTTGTACTAGTGGCCCTGGGAGTGGTTTCACAGATTACAATCAACGGCAACATACCCCTAATCAATATTATAGTTCATGTTACTACACCTTTTCATAAAGGATATTGTTATTTATCAAACACACTTACTGTCGGGTTGTTGTTATATGTTTAATCCTCATTATTGAGAACTAAGTTAAGTTATTTAACAAATTAATGTTTCAACTGATGCATGTTAATAAAAATGTGCTTACAAAATAAAAAGTTTGAGTTATCAGCATCTCGAAACCTCAATTCAGTGGAGCTCAACCAACAATATTTATTTCATCAAGCATTAAAACAATCTCTTGTTGACTTTGATTTATAACATCTACATTTTTAAAAATTGACAAAAGAAGTTTTAGTTTTAAACTCTAACGGACTCATGAAAATCTCAGGAAAAAATTGCTTCATCAACAATATTCTCATACAGTCACAGCTATAAATGAAAGAATGTTGTATTGTTCAACGATAGCTTCTTCTGTACAAGTCAAGACTTGCAGTACACTCATTTTTTTTCTTTTTTTTTTCCTTCATGATTCAAAGAGATGCGTCAGGGCTTTCCAGAATTCTTTTGCATCAGCAGGTACTACTGAATTCCTTTCCACTATGTCAACAGTCATCATCCTCTTCACTGATGCCTAGGATATGGATATAGTTTCTTGCAAGAATCCACTCATACTTGAAAGTAATCTACCCGACAATATGCATACTATAAAATGCAGCATGCCACTGTAAGGATCGAGGACTCATTTGTAAACAAGAGGATCAGAAACCTTCTCTTCAATAGGCCAAGTGTTTCTTCTAAAATCATCCTTACACTTGAATGCCTGTAGTTGTAATTGGCTTGGGCATCGGTCAGTTGTGTGTGTAAGGCTTCATTGACCTCGTAATTGGAGAACCTGAATCTCCAGTTTCAAGATATGGGACTTCTACACCCTCGATAACTCTTGCTCCAGGTGTAAAAATGTTCTCTCTGTTTTTCCAGAAAGAGGGTTTTTTCATTATTGTTGAATCATGGGATAACCATGAATCCTGCATAACCCATTGTTCCTGCAACAATTCTATAATCAGCCCCAGCAACTATTTGTAACACAAGAGAATAAAAAAAAACCTTTGAAACACCATTAGAGCTTCCTTCTTCCAGACAAACCACATATTGAGATGTGGGTTTTAATTCTTCCTCCTTTACACATAGGAAAGCCACATCCTCTATGAAAAAGTTCAGCATGTTTTTTAAGCTCTTCATGAGTCTAGAACACCAAAACTACTTCAAGACATGCTTCTGTACATGTGGACTCTGCAACTCCAAACATCTAGGAGATTGTCCAAGACGAGTCTCCGGTTTCGTACCTCCATAATGCCATAGCTACTCTCTCATTGTCACGTATAGATTGCCTCAGTCTTGTTGATTCCCGGTGAATATAAGGTGCCAATTTTTCGGTTATTAACAAGAACGTTTCCTTGTCAATACGTAGATTCACGAAGTAGTCTTTGTTTTCCCAGTTTTCTCTGCAAGTTGGCCAGAATTCTCTGGAACGTACTATTATCCCAAGTGCCCTGTTGAGCTCTCTTGACAAGAGTTCTTGTGTTAAATTTTGCTGTTCACAAGTCGTGACCACTGACAACCAAGATACGGTCAAATACGGTAGTTGTCAACAAGTTAACTATCTACATCCACACACTAGCAAAAATGGTCAAAAACATCACAACTTAAAAGTAAGCATTTAGTTGTTGTAAGCTCGCCTCAAACATTGCATTCTTCTAGTTGTTGATAACCTTTAGTTGTCAACAACTAAATGTCTAGTCTGTGGAGGCCCTTTAAAATTGTCTTGTTTTGTTTTGGGATTTAGAAGTTATTTCAAAAATCATTATTAACAGGACTTTCCATTGTCTTTTTATGAGACAAGGAGAGATCCACCAAAGCGGGAATACGTATTCTGTGGACAAATCCTAGAAGAAGTGGAATCTCACCCTTATCTGGGGGTAGTCCTCGATAACAAAATGAGGTGGTGACCACACATTGAAACAATCACATCTAGAGCAAATGAAGTCTTGGGACTTATCAAGCGAAACCAGTGGAATTGTCCAAAGTCAGTGAAAGAAACCGTGTATATGACACTTGTGAGGCCAAAACTCCAGTATGCCTGTAGCACATGGGACCCACATTACCAGAAAGATAAAGCCGCTCTAGAAAGGGTACAGCGGAAAGCAGCCCGCTTTGTCACTGGAAATTACGATCGAACAACGAGCGTGACGGAAATGAAACAATGAGAAGACACGCAAGGCTCTCCACTATATACAAGATGTGCCACGGCCTCCTAGATGGGGATTGGGGGGATTATTTGATAACAAGCAAAGAAAGGAGAACCCAGGAACAAACTTCCAGAAGAAACTGTTTCCAGCCAATCCCTCTGTATTTTTAAAAGCAAACTAATTTAGTTTTATTTTTATCAGTAGTTTTTAATAGTTTTGTATATTTTAGTATAGTTTTATTTATTATTATCTTAGAGTTGGCGTGATGTCCCAAACTATTTTGCCGACATAACGATATTTAGATTTAGATTTAGATTTAGATACATAATGATTTTGAATACATTTACTTTTTTGATAAACATGCACTCCATTCTGTAGTTTGTGTGAAGTGTTTATCACTTGTGCTTTATTTAATTCTTTTTTTTTCACTTTTCTCCTAGAGCATCTTGTTTTGGTGGGGTCAGAATAAACCGTTTTGCAATTGTTGACATGCCATACCATTAGAGAAACTATTTGTTTCTGAGTATTTGTTTATCTTGTTAAAAATACCGTTGTTCAAGGAACAATAAATTGGCACAAATAAAGCTATTTACCAGTGCTCTAATCTTAAAGCACCCTCCTTGTCACTTAACACGAACAGTGCTAACTTTTCAACATGTTTCATCAGAATATTTATTAAGTATTTCAAGAACTTTTCTCTGCATTACGAGAAAAACCTCACAGAGCTTTGCATAAGCTTCAATATAAAGTTTCTCAACTTCAGGGGCTAAGGAGATCCCACTCTCCTTAGGATTATCAGTAACACCGCTGCACGAACCACCACTAATAGGAGGGGCTTGAGACCTGAAATAGCTGTTTCCTTGGCTAGCTAGCTAGATTTCTTTACAGCTAACCATGGAAAGATTTGTAGAAAAGAGTCAAATTAGCTTGAAAATCCCAATAAATTGTAACAATCTGTTCCATTGCCGTAAAATGATGTTGAACAATGAACGATCTTTGGGTCTTTCATGGGAAATGATGGTGTGAGGACTTGCACAACAACTTAACTACTGTTAAGTTGTGCAACCTACCAAACTACGTTTGTCAACCTTGCTTTCATATACATTATTACATCATAAATTTCCGCTATAAACTTTTGCCATATACACCTCACTGGAGTCAGATGATGCTTAATCAATTACAATAGCTGAAACTGAAGTAGTAAACTCATGCAAACTGCCATGAAAATGGTAATGAAGACTGTCGTTTCAACAACATCGTATCAGCACAAGCAATAACTATAGCATACTCTCTGATAGACGCCAATTATGTGGGAATGACCATATCTACACCTTTTACAAACCTTCCTTAAGTACAACAAGACGGCCTACTTTTTTTGCAAAGCAGCAGAGAAACAGTCACCTGGGAGCCCAAAAAAACAACATTCTATTGTGATTGTGCTACCTGGACCAGTTCATTGTGTCAACCATGTTTAAGTCTATCATTTATTCACCATTCACTACACATTATGCCATTAATGAAAACCTTTTTAGAAAAGCTTTTCAGGGACGATTTCTCTTTCTGTTAAAGCAGTCTTTAAAAATTATAGACATTGGATTGGTTTTGTCTACTTCCATTGAATACTATTACCAATAGAAAGGTTTTCATGTTGCTTGTTTTTTAGGTATTACTGTCTCATTACGGTAACCCTAAAGTCGGTTCATCTTCACCAAGTACTCTCAAAGACAAATCATGGATAATACTATCAGCCTCTGAAGAGAAATTTGCAGTCAAAGATGAACAACCCCATAAAACACCATCAGCCAATCAAATCAAAAACCAGGCCCTGTCTTCCGTTTCAGTGTATTAAATGAAAAAGGGTTCTCTAGAAGAGCAGCAAAAGATGCCATGATGGGGAGAAACCTCATGCAACAAGCTGCCAATGAAATGCCAGATCTGTTGTAAACCTAATACAGGTATGATCTTGATCATTAATGATTGCTTTCATTGATTTGATTCATTCATCATTCATTTATTTATCACATACTCCTTAAACTAAATCTTTGATTCACAATAAAACACATTACCATTACACAGATTACATCTGCATGCATAGCAAATTTCTACTTTTATTTGTCCTTCCTTTGAAGGTACTTTTCTTTGAGAAAAAAAGAAAGAAAGGTCAACGGAAACTAGAGAATGGCTTGAATTTTTAAGCAAACGTATGCAGATTGGAGTGTCCTTTCCAGCTTATAAAAGGAGTCAGATGATGCTGTATCAACTATAATAGCTGAAACTGAAGTAGTAAACTCATGTAAACTGCCATGAACATGGTAATGAAGACTGTCATTTCAACAACATCGTATCAGAACAAGCAATAACTATTGCATACTCTCTGATAGACACCAATTATGCAGGAATAACCATATCTACATATCTGCATGCGTAGGTAATTTCTACTTTATTTTCCCTTCCTTTGAGGGTACTTTTCTTCAAGAAAAAAAGAAAGAAACGTCAATGGAAACCAGAGAATGGCTTGTATTTTTAAGCAAACATATGCAGATTGGAGTGTCCTTTCCAGTTTATAAAAGGGCCTATTGCTGAGGCGGTACAGACAGATGACTTGTTTTTGTTTTCTTCAAATTCATCTGTTTGTAACGCTTCTAACTTGAATCAGCACATGTGGATGAACACTGGATTTCAAACTTGACCTTGCACATCAATAAATTGATGTTTTCTCACAACAATTAAGCAAAAGCACAGATAGAATAAGGTTCCGCAAAACCATGCTGCACCCTAAGATCAATAGGTTTCAGTTCAAGATGAGGGGAGAATGTGAAAAAGTGTTCACAGGATTAAGACCCAGTTACAAAACCCCAAGGGCTACAAAGTTGAAACAAGACACAAATGCAACATTTGCAAGGAAGCACTACTCTGAAAGGCTGCCACAATGACCTTCAAGTTGGAATATTTACAACAAAATCTGGCTGAATGTGCCACTTTTTTTTCAAGCAAGTGCTTGAAAGAAAGTATCCCAAAGATTAGGTATCAACAGGAAGCAGTAAAGTACTACATTCAAACACAGACCTTAAACTCTGATAAGCAACAAGTCCTGGTGCAATGGCTTTACACAAAAAGCCAAACTCAGTCAGACACTATTTCTACAGAGCACAGTAAGCTTGTGCATGACATCTGGTCAAGCCCTGCGATCTCTGCACTGACAAGCAACAAGATTTATTTTATAAGTACTGAGATTTATCCACAGATGACAGTGATGAAAAAATCGTTTTGTTTTTAGTCGCAGCCAATCAGCGACATGAACGATGAAATTTCACTAGTGAAAAATCATCGTTCGCAGCGTCCGAATGGATGAACAATGTTTTCCACTAGTGAAAAGTGATCGTACGGAAAGCCACGTCATCCTTGGCGCGACAACTGGCAAGCCGCCTTTTTATTTTCAAGATGTTGGAAAGGTTTGTGGATGTCGGTTCAATTGACAATTTTATTGCAGAACAAGAAAACAAAGCCACATTGCAAAAACACAACGAGAGGTAAAACTTTTACAAAACGTTTTAGGAACCAGGAATGAACTTAGAAAAGTTGAAGAAATTCCAGCATTGGAGTTAAACGAATACATCTGCGAGTTTATCATTTCGGTCAGAACCAAAGATGGGAAAGACTATGAGCCTTCTTCGGTCCGAAGTCTATTGGCAAGTTTTGAACCACATCTAAAAAAGAACAGCTACTCTGCCAGTATCATGAATGACCTCGTATTTGAGAAAACAAGAAAAGTCCTCGTCCAAACAGAAAGAGTTAAAGAAGAGAGGAAAAGGAAACAGGCCAAACGCTTCGATAGCAGTGACAGTGGAGGACAGGGACGATGAGTAAAAACATTGCTATGATATGAATATGTTGTTATATATCACTAGCTTTTGAAAAGAAAATGTTGCAGTTTTTATGCTGTCAAGTGAATAAAACTCACTGTCTAGAAATTTTAAAAAGATGTTGTTTAAAGAGCTGTTAAATGTCATTATTGTTTGAAAGAAATCTCAGTAGTTATAAAATAAACAAATAACTTCATGGTTGGTTCGCTTGTACGATTTTTCTTCACAACTCGTGAATAAAAATCGTACGCACTCACCAACCATGAAGTAATCTCTATGTGTATGATCCAAAAACATGCACCCTGCAGCTAAAACATACAGGTACATTAACCACCCCAAACAAATATTGGTGAAAATTCAAACTGAGGTGTATTTAGAATTCAAGACAGGTAACCAGAGGTTAAATGTAATGCAGGGATTAGGAAGGC